GGCTAGTGCACCATTGTTAGGTTCGAGATTCCCGGTTGATGTTTATTTTTACCAAAAAAATGATGAGAACCTAGCTTCTTCAAAAAGAACAGGAACAAGAAAAAAAGAAAATGAAAAATCAACAAAAAAAACAAAAATCACCGATACGTTTACTGGTACCACTCTCACTTCTTCTGTCCTCATCTATATATATCGATATTTTATATCGATCTTAGAAAAAGATGGAGGATCGTCCATCTATAATAGATGGCGATCCTAACACTCAGGTTTGAGTATACTCTCAAATATCGAATAACCAAACAGTAAAACAAGTTGGTATTTACTGCCCTTGTATTTTGAGAATTTATGAAAAGGACGAGGATGTCTGGTAGTTGTAGATGAAAAGCGAACTTTATCCAACAAACTTGACAATTCGTCTGTTCGAGACCATAGAGACCAATTCTCATTCTTATCTTTACGACTTAACCAAAGTGATAGAAGCCGTTTCTGCAACGAGTTATAGTTGAGACATAAAAGATAAAAGAAATAATCGATGCACTTACAAACAAACCCAAGTAGATGTTGTGTAAGCTATCGACGAGAAAACAACGGCCAACATCAAATTTTGATAATGCTCGAAGCAAGCAAGGACCTTTAATACCCTTTTCTGCATTTTTATGTACCTCTATAAGTGCAGGTCGACCACGGGAACCAGTAAAATTGGCTAACTGATTCTCATTCATTTTTACCTCTTGTTGAAGTAAATCGTACCGTTCATTGGTACGCTCACATGCATTTGAATTATTTTCATAGGTGGCAAAACTCACGACAGAGCCATCATTTTTGTTGGTACACTCACACCTAAATATATTTTTTAACTTTATGTGTAACATTAATCTTCTCAGATGTGAAGATGAAAGCCGAAACATTAGAATAATATAGCAGAGGGTGTGGGTGTGAACGAAGATAAGGCACTGACCTCCACACCCACACCCACACCCTATATCGTGTAAGTGTGACTACAACTAATGATGAATCAATATCAGATGAAAAAGGAACGATAGAAAAGTTACAATTGAATCAAGGTACAATAGTTACTTTCTAAAGTCTTCTATGAAACTTTGTTTCTTTTTGTTGTTGATTAAATATATTTTTCATTATATAAAACAATTTGTTAATATTGATTCCCCAATTAAAAAGAAAACTGTTATAAACTATCGGAAAAATTTTCTTTTAATAATTGATGATTAGTTATCATCATTCAATTCATTGTTTAGAATGATTATCAACATGAAAATACAAACAATAATCTTAGAAGATTCTCATTGAGCATTTGCATCTTTTTTTTTTCATTTATATTTATTCAAATAAGTATGTACAGATAGAAGGGCTTCAATTATTAATAAACTTCTTTGCCATTTTTACTTCGAAATAAAATTATTGGACACCAACGCTTTAACTTCAATATTCTACAATAATCACAAATAGTTATTTGACATTCGTTGTTTATTTCATTTGATGTGTTTGAATATGCAAAAGACTTTTAACATTATAATTAGTAAAATTTTCTAGATTTTGTTCAATCAATAGTATCAGTACGAATCCTATATGAGAATAATAATTTTATCCGATTCAAGAGAACTATTCAGGTCAAATTTTTATATATTTAACTCTATTGTGAAACCACTATTAAAATATAAGAATCCTCTAGTAATACATCAAAACATAACGTGTTGTTTTTATTAATATTATAAATTATAAATGCAATATTGAAAATTTTTCTTAATCATCAATCATACGATCAGAATTAGTGAAATTTCGTAATTTTGAAGTCAAATCTAGAATATATTTTTCCTTACAAAACAATATACTTTTCATTCGTAAAAGTAAATACTTAGTTGATCATGTTGAAAATTTTCAGGCAAGAAAACTTTTGTTGAGTTATTCGATGCAGCTTTACGTAAAACAACTGGTGACGAGACGAATTCGAAATCCTAGGAAAAATTGTAATTGATTGTCATTTTTTCATTTAATTATCATTTAACATAACAAACTGAATCGATTGAGGAGTTTTCAGATTTTTGTTGATTTAGATTTTTCGTTCGCTTTCGATTAGAATTCAGAAAGTAATTGCCATTATAAAAATGACAGAAAGACACCTTGATTTTTTTCTTGCTTTCAATCTGTAATGATCATTATTGCTAGCTTTCAAACTTGAATCTGTGAAAATAAAAATCCAAGACAGATTTTATCAATAAGTGTACATAAAAACATTTACCACTAAGATCTGAATTTGAATGATGTTGATCAATATTTAATCTTTGACGAATTTCTCTTTTTCTAAAAGAATTCGTTTTCTTTTCATGTTATCAAAGCAAACATAAAAAATAATACTTTTGTAATCCTACATGCCGTAATTTAAGATTTTTTCCTTGAATATATGCAGTAGGATTAAAACGAGTACGAGAATAAAGAGATTTCGATAAAAAAGAACTGATCAAAGAAAATTACTTGTTGACAATGGTAATCGTTTAAGGCCGCTTTTTGAACGATAAAATATATTTTAGTAGATAAAAGAGTATTCTTAAAAACAGGGACTTGTCATAAATTACAGTGATTATATATCATGTTTCGAAAATGCAAATACTAAAATCATGAGATGTAGCTATGTTTCTAGTTGGATTCTGTTTTACTGGCTGATCAAGGAAGTTTCCCAGAGGATCTACAGAGATTTTTTTTCATTTTATCTATAGTTCCTGTTTTTAATAATTAATTTTTCAATGAAGAATCTAAAGGACAATAAATAGAAAACGCACAAGACTCATTGTCTATCAAAATTTTACCTAGAAATATGAATAATAGTGATGTTTCTGTATCAGTGTGAAGCTAGCACGACGGAGCTAACACGATGAAACAGATATTCAACTATAAGTCTTCTCAGAAGTATTGCCGGCCCATAAAAACCAAACCATTCGATGCAGAATTTAATTCTGGATCGGATGGTGATACTTTTATTCCCCGGCAATACTTAGGAAGAAATTTTACCTACACCTTTGTTTTCTTCTAAATAGGACAAGAAAAACCGGATAG